CGGCTCTGCTCTGTGGGTGATAGAGGGCAGCGCCCCAACCCCCTGATCCACCCTGCCCTGAGTGTGATGGGGCGGTGCCCCAACCCCCCAATCGGCCCTACCCTGAGGGTGGCATTGCAACCTTCCAATCCGCCCTGCTCTGTGCATGACAGGGGGCGGCGCCCCAACTCCCCAATCGGCTCTGCTCTGAGCCCGACCAGGGGCTGCACCTAGGGATTAAGCCTGCTCTCTGCCACCCAGGAGCAGGCCTAAGCCAGCAGGGCGTTATCTCCCGAGGGGTCCAAGACTGCGAGCGGGCACAGGCCGGGCTGAGGGACTCCCCTTCCCCCCCCCGAGTGCACAAATTTTTGTGCACTGGGCCTCTAGTTATTTGATAAACTATTAGATTGATTGTGTGTAACAGTCTTCATCCTTCTTGATTTGTCTTTTCTGTTTCTAACATAGACTATTCTTTATTTGTTACTGTTTTATTTTCCCTATTGTTGCTGGTTCTTTCTCTGTTGCCCACTACTCAAATGTTTTTATTTCCCAGGTACTGTCCTTGATTCTCTGTTATTTCTTTATTAAATACTTCGTGGAGGTGATCTCATCCACTCCTCTATCTGCAACTACAACCTAAAATCCCTACTTCCAATTCCTTGGCCACATTTCCAACTACCTATTGCCTGGCTCTCAAATGTAATCTACCGATACAAAACTTATTATATACTAGAGGCCCGGTGCACAAAAATTTGTGCCCCCCCCCCCCCAGGGAGGGGGGGACAGTCCCTCAGCCTGGCCTGTGCCCTCTTACAGTCTGGGACCTCTCTGGGGATGACCATCTGCTGGCTGAGGCCTGTTCCCCAGGGGATTGGGCCTAAACTGGCAATCAGACATTCCTCCGGCAGCCCTCGAGGGATGTCCACTTGCCAGTGGGGAGCAGACCTAAAATGCAGTTGGACATCCTCAGCACTGCTGAGGAGGCAGGAGAGGCTCTCGCCACCACCGCTGTACTGGCAGCCATCAGCCTGGCTTGTGGCTGAGCAGAGCTCCTCCATGTGGGAGCTCACTGACCACCAGGGGGCAGCTCCTGCGTTGAGTGTCTTCCCCCTGGTGGTCAGTGTGTGTCATAGTGACCAGTCATTCCCAGTCTTTCTGCTGTTAGGGTCAGTTTGCATATTACCCTTTTACTATATAGGATAGAACGGGTATCCTATATAGGTGATGAACGGGTGAACGGGTGGGGACTGGCAGGTTTGCCCTGAAGGTTGTCCTGGATCAGGGTGGGGGTCCCACTTGGGTGCCTGGCCAGCCTGGGTGAGGGGCTAAGGGCTGTTTTCAGGCTTCCCGCACCCCCTTCAGGGTCAGGGTCCCCACTGGGGTGCCTGGCCAGCCTGGATGAGGGGCTGATGGCTGTTTGCAGCTGGTCGCACCCCCTTCAGGGTGGGGGTCCCCACTGGGGTGCCTGGCCAGCCTGGATGAGGGGCTGATGGCTGTTTTCAGGCAGGCCAAGCCTGCAACTGAAGCTCCCAGTCTCTCCTTTTTTCTTTTTATTCTGGGATTTATTTACCTTCTGTAATTGAAACTTTGTTGTGGTTCCAGCTCCAAGGTTGGCTGGCTGAAAGCAGGTATCTGGGGTTTGTTTAGCTTCTATAATTGCAACATTGTTGCATCTGGAGCTCAGACCTGGGCCGCGGCAGGCGGGGAACCCGGCTTCCTCCATCGCGAGAGCAACCAAGCCTCATGATCGCTTCAGCTGTGTGGATGCTGGCCGCCATCTTGGTTATCAGTTAATTTGCATATCACCCTGATTAGCCAATGGGAAGCATAGCAGAGGTATGGTTAATTACCATGTTTGTGTATTATTAGCTAGGATACTCTACCCTTCCTTAGTTCAAGAAAAAATAAAACACAACTTTTGTGTCTGGATTAATAGTTCTTTCCAGTCTGACTTCAAAGCTAAAAATATTGATATCTTTGTGTTTCTTCTAATTCTTATTGATAGAAATCTTAAATCTGGCCTAATATCATTGACTAGAGGCCTCGTGCATGAAAATTCATGCACTGGAGGTGGGGTCCCTCAGCCCGGCCTGCCCCCTCGGGGGCGGCAGGCAACCTGGAGATCAGGGGAAGGCAACGCCCCATCGCACCTCTGCTGCTGCCATTGCCGGCAGCACAAGCTTCAGCTGGCCCTGGTTACCTGAGCCTCTGGCGGCCCTGGGTGGCTGGGCAGCCGCCATCTGAGGCTTGCCTGCGCCTCGGGCCAGCCCTGGGTGACTTAGGGGACTGGGGGACTCTGGAGGCAGGCGCCCCAGTGGGGCTGAGGAAACTGGGTGCCATCATCTTTGAGGGCATGGCAGTCATTTAGCATATTCCCTCCTTATTGGCTGTGGGCGCCACCATCTTTGAGGGCAGGGCAGTCAGTAAGAATATTCCCTCCTTATTGGCTGTGGGCGCCGCCATCTTTGAGGGTAGGGCAGTCAATTAGCATATTCCCTCCTTATTGGCTGTGGGTGTTGCCATCTTTGCAATGGGGTGAGGGTCAATTAGCATATTCCCTCCTTATTAGATAGGATACCACAGTTGGGGCTTTTATTTTCCCTTGCTTAGTTGTCTTAACATTCTTTTCAGCTTTCTCAGTGCTGCTATAATAATCTTCCTAAAAATCAAAGCTGTTCTTGTCACTCCCCTGATTAAAATTTTCTGCCAATGCCCTATTTCTTACAGAATAAAATCTAAATACAAGGAAAATACAGTTTTTGAGAATCTGGTCCCTTTATCTAGAACTGATCTGTCTCTCTACACCCCTAACCCCAACCTTTTGTCACACATATTTCTCATTGTTAAATGCAGTGTTTGTCTTTTTACATATTTTTTTCTTTCTATTCTATATCTACATGTTCTTCCCTCTTCTTCCTCCAAGAAAATAAAATCAATAAGGTTGCTCCTTTAAGACCCAGCTTAGATATGACCTTATCAGTCATATAGGAGTATTTCTATTTTTCCTCAGGAGCCTAGCTCCTCATCTAGCCCTAGGTACTTTATTTCTTTAAAAATTTACAATAGATTTGTATCTATCTCTTTCATTAGCTTGAGGGGGGCAGGTGGTTCATGTCCTTAGCATTTGTGCCCATGGTTCACAGTTGCTACACAATAAAATAACATTTAGACTATTTAAATATGTAAACTTCAGTAATGTTATAAAATGAATGATGTAGTACATATTTTTCCTTACTTAAAGCAAGGAAATTCATAATATAATGCCTTAAAAAGTATGGAGAAGTCTAGGGTGAGATGTGGATATTGGGGATTAACTGATAATAGGTTTAATGACTGAGTAAATGACTATAGGAGGTTTACTTGTTCTTTCAGTGTAAGATATTGAGTATGTACTTGCATGGAACTGTATATTTTGTTTGTTTCTTTTTCTGTTATATATATTTAAAAAATTTGCATAAATGTTAATTTGCTTGTTTAAGGAATTCTTTATATATTTGGAGTACTAACTTTTGTTATATGTGTTGTGGAACTGTATTTTATTGCAGAGATTCACAAATTTTCTCAATGTCTTTAGTGTCTCAGTAAGATTGTTTAGAGTGACCTCTAGACCAAAAGAAATATCTAACAGCTTGCTTATTAAGCAGCTAGGTCTAAGGAATTAAATAGCCTTTTGGAAAAAAATAAGACACTTATTTGAAAGGAAAATGTTTAATTGTTAAATAATTACAATTTTATAAGAATGCATGTGCCTGTTAGGTATTTCACAACTTCTCACACCTGGAATCAGATTGCACATCTCCTCCTGCATTTCTTATTTTACATTAGTTTTTGGGGGAGGTACTAGTTTTTATTATAGCAACTACTGGCAACTCAGCTTCTCAAAGAAGTGATGTTATTGAAAATAATATATGTAGTATTAACTAATGTTGAAACTGAATTTCTCTGCTAGTGTTGGACTGATTTTGAGTGTCACTGTATTTTCCTGAAAAATTTAAAGTAATTGGTGTTGTCTTTGTGAATTTGCTGTAGTACCCTGGGGCTCAGTTTTGAAAGCATGTTTCTTAACAAATATATATAGTTTTTCTTTTAATTTTACATGCTTGATTTATTATTGCTATATACTTACCAACTGTGTTTTATATATTAGGCACATAGCAATTATTTATGAAAGAGCTAATAAATTAAATGTTAAGGAAATTGTAGTAAACTATAATTTTCATAGGCTTAATTTTAAATTTTTCGCTTATTACAAAATTTTCAGAAATCCAGACAGACTAGTACAGTGATGGCGAACCTTTTGAGCTCGGCGTGTCAGCATTTTGAAAAACCCTAACTTAACTCTCCTGCCGTGTCACAGGATATTTGCAACCATAGTAAAACAAAGATTTATATTTTTGTTATTTATTTTATATATTTAAATGCCATTTAACAAAGAAAAATCAACCAAAAAAAATGAGTTCGCGTGTTACCTCTGACACGCGTGTCATAAGTTCGCCATCACTGGACTAGTACAATGATTTTCCATCTATATTTACAATTTTTAACATTTTTACGTTATGTTTTACATTATAATTTTAACATGTTTGCATTATGTTTTTAATTGAATCACCAGAAAATATATTGCAGGGATAATTTTACTTATTTCTAAATAGTTATGTATGAATCCCTAAAGAATGATCTACAGCCCTAACCGGTTTGGCTCAGTGGATAGAGCGTCAGCCTGCGGACTGGAGGGTCCCAGGTTCGATTCTGGTCAAGGGCATGTACCTTGGTTGCGGGCACATCGATGTTTCTCTCTCATTGATGTTTCTAACTTTCTATCCCTTTCCCTTCCTCTCTGTAAAAAACTCAATAAAATATGTTTTTATAAAAAAAGAATGATCTACAGTTTGATTATCACACCTAAGAAATGCTGTCCTTTTCTAGTACTCACTAATGATCTAGTATTCTCTGGGTTTTTAAATTTTGGTAGTTTCTTTTGATGGTAATAATATTTGTATTTTATTATTTTGTTTTAATAGTGGCCAATTCGCCATGGTATAGTTGAAGATTGGGATTTGATGGAAAAGTTTATGGAACAAGTGATCTTTAAATATTTAAGGGCAGAACCTGAAGACCATTATTTTCTTCTGGTAAGTACAAATTGTAATTTCACTGAGGAAAGTTTTGAAGAAACTCAATGAGAATATTTTCATTACATCTGTATTCATGAGGGCATGCTTTATTTTTTATTAAATTGTCGTATGTCTAAAAGACTCTAAAAAGCGCTTTTGTCTTTAAGATTATTCTGTTCTGGCCGAACCGGTTTGGCTCAGTGGATCGAGCGTCGGCCTGCGGACTGAAGGGTCCCAGGTTCGATTCCGGTCAAGGGCATGTACCTTGGTTGCAGGCACATCCCCAGTGGGGGGGGCGTGCAGGATGCAGCTGATCGATGTTTCTCTCTCATCGATGTTTCTAACTCTCTATCCCTCTCCCTTCTTCCCTGTAAAAAATCAATAAAATATATTTTTAAAAAAAAAGATTGTTCTGGAGTTCAAATAGAGTAGTAATATATTGAAACAACAAAGTTTAGGCACTTAAGAAATTCTTTTGATAATTAATATGTAATCTTTTTGATAGAAATAGTAAGGTTCAGAAAAAAGTTGGAGATACGGCGCTTCCCTTTTTAATTGTAGTCTGATTATTATTTCATTTGTAATTTTTGGCAACAAAAATACAATATAACTTAATTTTTAAACTTTTTCTTTTTACCAAAATAGTTGCATGTTCATATCTATCTTTAAAAAATTAAATGGTATAAGATGGAAAATAAAAAAAACAGCACTCTTCTTCCTCATGTCTCCCAACCCTTGATTCGTATTCCCCAGAGGTTAACATTTAAAAATTCATCCATGTTGTTGAGGATACCAATAACTTGTTGCTTTTTCTGGGTTGCATTCCATTAGATGATTATGCCTTACTATGTATTTTCTGTTGATGATCACCTGGGCTGTTGCCAGTTTTTTACTATTAACAATATTTTGGCTACTGGGAACTTTCCTATACAGATCTTTCTGGGGACATATGTTTTCATTTCTCTTGTATAAATACTTTGGTACAGAATTGCTGTAGGTAGGTGCATAATAGGTTTTTTAGGAAACTTTCAGAACTTTTTCAGAACCTTTTATATAAGATGTAAGTTGGTTGTTCTACAATCTGCCCAATATTTGGTGTGTTAGTCTTTTTAGCTTTAGCCATTTTAGTGGGTGTGTAAGCTTTCTCATTTTGGTTTTAATTTGCAATTTCCTGATGACTAATGACATTGAGCACTTTTTCATGTACTTACTAGCTATCTGTTTTCCTTATGAAGTTTCTGATTATATTTTATGTAGAACTGCTGTTTGTTTTGGAGTTTATAGTTTAACTGCTTTGGTTTTTTAGTTTGCTTAATTTTGTATGTATTGCTAAATATCTTCATACTGTTGAACCTAGTTCCAAACTCTCTCAACATCAGGCAGTTTGCTTATTAAAAGTTTTACATGTGAAAAACTCTATTCCTGCTTAGTTTTTTTAAACTTTCTTTATAAGGCCTTTTAAAATTGAAAAAAATACATTTAATTTGTAATGAATTCAAGTTTTATCATTTTTTTGTAATTTTTGCTCTGTGAATGTAAGGAATCCATGGCCTTCCTCAAGGTCAAAAAGATAATTCTTTTGTGTTAAGTTTAAAAGTTTTGCCTTTTAACTTTACATATTTGAGATAACAAAAAGGATTGGATTGTCATATCAGACTCATAAGAATCAGTTTTACCCAGTTTCCAACTTTAATAATTTAAATGAATTAAATGATCTTGAGACATAAGCAAAAAATGAAATCTGGGATTTTCATTGCTGTTCCCTAGGTCCTTTTTGCCTCAGACTTAACCCAGATACAAGTTTCTAAGTGATATATGCAGCCACATAACTTAAACTGAAGAGAACTATGTAAATATCTCCATTTTATAGTCGCTTAACAGTTATGTAACTTACATAACATTTTTTTCAGGAAGCTGTGCCATGAATTTGTCGAATTTTGACTTATCTATCTATATAAAACCCTAATATGCAAATTCACCAAATGGCAGAACAACTGGCGGAGCGACCAGTTGCTATGATGCACACTGACCACCTGGGGGCAGATGCTTAACGCAGGAGCAGCCCGCAGGCCCCAACCTATGGTGGCAGCGAGAGGTGGGGCCGGCGAGCAGGTGGTGCCAGGCCAGCCAAGGCGGGTGCAAGCAGGGGCAGCCCAATCACCCTGCTAGTCACCCTGCGGATTGGCCCTGATCGCTAGCCAGGCCTAGGGACCCTACCCATTCACGAATTTCGTGCACTGGGCCTCTAGTTTACTATAATTGTACACAGATCAGGTACATTCTGCTATAAATAATGCATAGATGATTCTTCCAGTAGCAAATGCCACTGGAGGTTTTTCATTGCCATGTTTAGAAGGTGATTTGATTGGGTCTCCTTCCTTCTTCCTCCTTCCTTCCTTCCCTTTCTCAATGTTTAATTCTTCAAGTGGTGTGACAGGAATTCAGTTACCTTTTTTTTATGTGAATAACCATATTTTTGCATACGTTTAGATCTGTTTGAATTCTCTATTTTTTTCTTTGACTGTGTCTCTCTTTACCTCTAAGTTTTAATGACTTTTAAATACAGTGTTTGAAATAAATTATTTCTCATTTAAAATTGTCTATTAAGTTATCAAAATAATCTGATATTGTCTATTTAAAATGTTATTCAATTTAATAGACTGAACCTCCTCTGAATACTCCAGAAAACAGGGAATATACTGCTGAAATAATGTTTGAGTCTTTCAATGTTCCAGGCTTGTACATTGCTGTGCAGGTAAGCAAGTTCATAAGTTAAGAGACTCTGGATTCTTAAGTTTTAATCTGATTTAATTCTCTATCTATGTATTATAACCTCAAAGCATATCCTAGTTCTCTCTTGAGTTGATAATTTAGAAATCCTATTATAGGATATTGAGTTTTAGTCAGTAGAAAAGAAGTGTTAAAGTATATTAATGGTTTTTGGTTAACTCATATCCTTTTATAGGACAGAAAAAAGGGAACTAAAGTTCATTGAGTGTTTCTGCCATGTCAGGAACTTCATATCCTATCTAATAAAAGAGAAACATGGTAATTAGCATACATCCGCTACCCTTCCCATTGGCTAATCAGGGCAATATGCAAATTAACTGCCAGCCAAGATGGCGGACACCAGCCAGACAGCTTAAAGCGAACATGAGGCTTGTTTGCTTCAGTGACGGAGGACTCCAACGTTCCCCGCATGCCACTGCTGGCCTCTGAGCTGCAACTCTAAGCAACTATGTTACAAATATAGAAGCTAAACAAAACCCCAGAAACCTGCTTTAGTCTGCCAGGCTTCAGCCAGCAGGATCGCAACATTGTTTCAAATACAGAAGGTAAACAAAGGCCAGAAACCTGCTTTCAGCAGCGGAGGCCTAAGAGCTGGAGCCAAGCCTCAAAGCTAAAGCTGGTCCAGAATAAAAAAAAATGAAAAAAGGAGCGGTTGGGAGCTTCAATCACCCGCCAGCCTGAAAACAGCCCTCACCCCTCACCCAGACTGGCCAGGCACCCCAGTGGGGACCCCCACCCTAAAGGGTGTGTGGTCAGCTGCAAACAGCCATCATCCCCTCACCCAGACTGGCCAGGCACCCCAGTGGGGACCCCCACCCTGATCCAGGACACCCTTCAGGGCAAACCAGCCGGCCCCACCCGTGCACCAGGCCTCTATCCTATATAGTAAAAGGGTAATATGCCTCCCATCCTATATAGTAAAAGGGTAATATGCCTCCCAGCACTGGGATCAGCGGAGCCGAGAGGCCTCCCGGCACCGGGATCAGCGTGACAGGGGGCAATGCCCAAACCCCCTGATTGCCCTGCAGCTCTGTGTGTGACAGGGGGCGGGGCCACAACCTCCCTATCCGCCCTGCCCTGTTCATGACAGGGGAAGGCGCCCCAACCCCCTGATCAGCCCTGCTCTGTGCCTGATAAGGGGAGCTCCCCAACCCCCTGATCGCCCTGCGGCTCTGTGTGTGACAGGGTGCGGCGCCCCAACCCCCCCTCACCCCCCACGGGCCCTGCTCTGTGTGTGACGGGGTAGTGCCATAACCTCCCCATTGGCCCTGCCCTGAGTGTGACAGTGGCGGCGCCCCAACCCCATGATCAGCCCTGCTTTGTGGGTGATAGAGGGCGGCGCCCCAACCCCCTGATCCGCCCTGCTCTGTGTGTGATGCGGCGGTGCCCCAACTCCCCTATCGCCCCTACTCTGTGCGTGACAGGGGGAGCTCCCCAACCCCCTGATCAATCCTGCTCTGTGCGTGACAGGGTACGGAGCCCCAACCTCCCTGATGGGCCCTGCTCTGTGCGTGACAGGGTACGGAGCCCCAACCCCCCAATCAGCCCTACCCTGAGCGTGGCTGAGGGTGGCATCGCAACCTCCCAATCCGCTTTGCTCTGTGCATGACAGGGGGCAGCGCCCCAACTCCCCAATCGGCCCTGCTCTGAGCCCGACCAGGGGCTGCACCTAGGGATTAGGCCTGCCCTCTGCCACCCGGGAGCAGGCCTAAGCCAGCAGGTCGTTATCTCCCGAGGGGTCCCAGACTGTGAGAGGGCACAGGTCAGGCTGATGGACCCCCCTCCCCCACCCAGTGCACAAATTTTTGTGCACCGGGCCTCTAGTATATAATAATAGTGTAATATACTAATTAGACTGGACGTCTTCCAGACGTCATTCCGGACGTCTTTCCTGATGAAGCCATCCTTCCCGACGAAGCCGGGGCCGGAGGGAAGCAGCTCGGTCCCAGGTGCAGGAGGGAAGCGGGTGCCAGCAGCCAGGGGAAGGAAGACCTACTCGTGCATGAATTTTTGTGCATTGGGTCTCTAGTGTGAGTGTGTGTGTGTGTGTGTGTGTGTGTGTGTGTGTGTGTGTGTATTCATTTATCCTTAGAACATTCATTGTGTTCTTTTTACAGTCTGTTTTGACTGATTTATTGCTATGTGTATTTGACCACCTTCTCCTTTGTGCCTCTCTGTATCCTATATATCATAAATTCCTGCGATACTTTATTGTACTTAATTTGTATGTATATCTATATGGTATAGCTTCTGTCCCACCCCTCAGGATCAGAACTTACCTCTTATTTTTTAACCCTATAGTAAGTGTGATAACCTGGCATATCACAGATGCTTAATGAGTATATAAACTATTTTATAGTTCTGGTGGCACACAATGTTTGTAGTGTGATCCTGTGTTATAATTGGCGGTCAGCCTAGACATCTTTCTAGGTCCATTTTTCAGCTATTTATATTGCAAGTAGATTTTAAAAAGCCAGTTTTGTTCTGTTTTTAATTATTAGTCATATATCTTATTTGAGGCTTGGATTGTATGAAATACAGATTTTTAAAAATGAACTAGCTGTGTTAATTTCTTAATTTGTAAACTCCTTTTTTAAAGGATTATACTTTATTGCCTATGCCACAATTTTTCACAGAAAAATGTTACCTCATCAACTTTGTTTTGTAATTATATCATAGTATTTGGAAGTGTGCAAGGGCTTTTCTGTGATAAGTTGTTATATATCCCTAGATGCATATTGCACTTAGAAAATTTGGAGATAATCTTATAAGAGTGATACTTGTATTGAATAATTCTGGTGATTGGGTGGTTGGTGGTGCGCTTCTTTTGCTTTGTTGTTTGTAACAGGCTATCCCATATAAACAGTTTAAGTCTTGATAATCTTATACAATTTCATGTTAGTCTTCCACATTTTTTTGGCTTTAGGAGAAAAAAGGCTCTCACTGAAATATGGAAAATTTATAAATATGTCCCTGAAAGCAAATATAAACTCGTAAGTTTGTCTTAATAAAATGTAGAATGTGAATAATTTGATTGCATAGTGTAAATTAATTTTGTATATTTTCTTTCCAGGCATACTACATTTAAAATTGAATAAAATACTCCAGTAAAATATATGTAATTTTAACTCTCTGTCTTTGTTTCTTTTTTGCCCGTCTTATTTCTTTTTATTCAAGGCCGTTCTTGCCTTAGCTGCATCCTGGACCTCAAGACAAGTAGGGGAACGGACATTGACTGGTACGGTAATAGACAGTGGAGATGGTGTCACACATGTCATTCCTGTGGTAAGAATATTTTAAAATTACTGAATAGGACATCAAATTACACATCTGGCAAATTAAATTATATGAATTAATACCACTTTTTAAAACTTTAAGTATTATACTTAAAAAATTAGCTGTGATTTGGCCATTTGTTCAACTATAGTTGTATTTTGCTCAAATTATTGTTAAAATTTTATAAACAAATTCTAAAATATTTCTTTTGCTATAGGTTTGTACTACTATTAGGAAATAATTAGAAATTTTTTAGCAATAGTTTTTAATTTATAATTGGGAAATGATGAATTGGAGTATATGGAATGAAAAAATATATCTTTCTTTTCTTAAACTTGGAATTCTTTTCTCCAGTTTGATGTGTCTTTGTGTGTATTAGCCAGTTGATAGTCTCTCTCATCCTTAATTAACACATTTCAGACTGGTGTGTACATTAACAAAATGGCAGTTAGTTGTGAGCAATGACCATTAATGACTTTTAGGGAACTATTTTTTTTTTTTTTTTAATAAAAAGCTCAAGATATGATTGGGCTTCATGGTTTAAATTTAGTAAAGTATATTAAGAAAAATGCATCAGATTGGATTATTGTCTGAGATAGCATTTTTTTGCCAAGGCCTTTGTGCTTCTAATCTTAATGACAAATTAGTTTTTTTACTGTGCTTCATAGATTCAAAATGACAGCTCAGATTTATACTGATCATTATTTTCTTCTTTTCTGTTGAGTTAGTGGGTTATTTTTATAATTCTATTTTGCTTCTTTATTGACCTACTAGCTATACTATATTTTTTTGGTATTGTCATTTGCTTGTTTCTTTGTGGTGGTTGCTCCAGGGCTTATCGTAAGCAACTTTAACTTATCACAATCTAACTCCAAATAATATTCTAGGTTTCATAACTTTTCTAGTCTGTATTGTCATTCATTTTACTTCTACATGTTATTTATTCAATAGTATATTATTAATTTGTTTCATTGTAAGTTGTATATTAGTTTTGCTAGGGCAGCCATAACGAAGTACCACAAACTGAGTGACTTAAACAATTAAAGGATTAATTTTTTCACAGATATGGAGGCTAAAATGTTTGAGGTCAAGATGTTGGCAGTGTTGACTTCCAAGGGCTCTCTTGTAGACCATATGTCTTCTCTGTGTCTGTGTTCCAGTCTCCTCCTCTTTTAAGAACAGTAGTCATATCAGATCAGGGCCCACTCTAATCATTTCATTGTAACTTTATTTTACCTCTTTAAATACCCTATCTCCAAAGGCAGGAACATTTTGACAGTATTGGGGATTAGCATGTTAACAGAATTTTGGGAGGGACAGGTCACAAGTCAGCCTATAATAAATAGTCATCTTTAAAAGAGATTTTGAAAAACACATACAATTCTTTTATATTTACCTACACACCATTTTCAGTGCTCTTTATTCCTTTGTGAAGGTCTAGATTTTCATCTAGCATCATTTCTTTCTGTCTGAATGTTGGTTTTTAATATTCTTATGGTCCTGATCCTCTGCCTATGAATTATTTCAACTTATGTACATACTTTAAAAGGTCTTTATTTTGCCTTCATTTTTGGCAGATAGATTTACTTAATGTAGAATTTTAGGTTGGTAGTTTCCTTCCTTTTAGTATTTTAAAGATGTGGCTCTACTGTTTTCTGACTTACTTTGTTTTTGAAAGTATCTGCTATAATTTCAGGTTTGTTCCTTTGAATGTAACGTTTCTTGTCTGGCTGCTGTCAAGTTATCTTTTTACATATTCTAGGTTCACTAGATTTCAGCTATTTGATTGTGATGTATCTAAATGTGGTTTTCTTCATTTCTTCTCATTGAGCTGCTTGGACCTGTGGATTTGTAGTTTTTATGATATCTGAGAAGTTTTTGTCCATTATTTCTTCATATATCTTTTCTTTTCCTCCTTTACCTCCTGATCTTTAGAAACTCCATTACATGTATATTAGACTGTTTAAAGTTGTCTCATAATTAACTGATACTCTATTTTTTTCTAACCTTTTTTTTTCTGTACCCTTTTGGAGAGTTTCTATTTCTGTCTTCATGATCATGATTTTTATTCATTGTGTAATGTGCTGTAATTACATTTATTGTATTTTTAAGTTCAGGTGTTTTTGTTCTTAGAAGTTCTGTTTGGGTCTTTTTATAGCTTCTGTTTCTCATGTTTAAATTGATCTTCTTGATCAGGATCAGATGGAGTATATTAGCTGTTTTAATGTCCTTGTCTACTAATTCTATATCTTTGACATTTCTGCTTCTTTCTCTATTGATTTATTTTCTTCCTGATCAGGGGTTGTCTTTTCCTGGTTCCTTTCTTGCTTAATATTTTAAGATATTTTCTTGGGACACAGTTAAGTGACTAAGAATCAGTTTGATCCTTTAAGGGACTCCTTTAAAACATTATTAAGCATTTCCAGGCCTACTCTGTCCTCAGTGTTGGGGCAATATTCTTCTGAAGACTACTACGTGCTCTGAGTTTGAGGTCTTTAAACTCTGGTGAGTGGGAATATAAACTGTTCCCAGCTGTGTATGAGTTGGGGATCGTTCTTTCTGTCTGCTCCTTTCCAGAGGTTCTTTCTCTGGCCTTGATTTTTCTCACATGCACACGATGATTACTAGTCAGCTAAGGTGATAATTCTCTTCAGATCTCCAGAGCTCTCTCTGTGCAGCTTCTCCCACTCTAGTAGTCTGACTTGCAGATTCTGTATCCTCAGCTTAATGAGACCACCAGACTCTGGGTTCTCCTTCCCATTATTGCTGCCTAAGAACTCTCCCTGGGCAGCAAGATGGAATGTTTCTCACCTTGTTTGTTTTCCCTTCTCTTAGGGTCACTGCTCTACTCTGCCTGTTCTCTAATATCTGAAAACCAACTTCATATAATTTGTCCTGTTTTATTTTTAAGATGAAAGGATGAATTCAATCCCTACTCTATTGTCATGGGCACATGAGGACATCTCTGACATTTCATTTGTTAATGAAATTTAATTTTGCTACATTATTTTTTGTTCTTTTGACTTGGATCAATAAATTTATGAATTCTTCAGAACTTAATTATTTAGCATTATTATGGTACATGTTATGTCTGAAGCTTGTGAAATTGGTACCTAATTCATTGGGAAAAATGATAGCCAGCTTTTGAGTTAATGATCAAATTTCCTACAATGAAATCTAAATTTTTTATTGAAATTTTAGAAGATTTAAAAATCATCTCATCTGAAGTCTATTATCTAAAACATTACTACTTCTGAAAATCATTATTTCTAAGTTATTGAGTTATTTCAGTCTTGGTTATAAACTCTTATCAATGAGAGAATATTAAGTTGCCGGCCATTCATTCTTGTTACTGTATAGTATTAAAAATTCTACGATAAGTAACTATGAGGAATACAATTGAGAAATAAAGACTAGAAGAATTATCCTGGGATAAAGGAATACTTTAGATATGACTACACTAACCTGAGCTATGGGTCTTTAATAGCTAGTTATTTAGATTATATGAATTTTGAAAACATTGACAGTAAATTTGATACTCTTTTCCCCCCCTCTAGGCTGAAGGTTATGTGATTGGCAGCTGTATTAAGCACATTCCCATTGCAGGACGAGACATAACGTATTTTATTCAGCAATTGCTGAGAGACCGAGAAGTAGGAATCCCTCCAGAGCAATCCTTGGAAACTGCTAAGGCTGTAAAGGTAAAGGGTGATGAGGTGTAATTCAGTTAGAAATTAAAAATCAAATTTAAAATACTAACATGAAAAATTCTTAAGAACGGTACTTAAAAAACACACGTGTTAGCCAGTTAAAAATTATTAATTACGTGTGTGTGTGTGTGTGTGTGTGTGTTCTCTATCTTTTGTAAGGAAATTTTGGGGGATTATCAATTCTTTTTTCCTCACATCTTAACATTTGAGAGGACTAACATACATTTTCATGATTATTTCCTTTTGTAAAATAAATTCGTTCACTTCATATTCCTCAAATCTCAATTTCTTCATTGAATTCCTTATTCGGAAAGTTTTCTGTTGCAAAATTATTTTGATTTAATTGATTGATTTTCGCATAGTTAGCTCAGGTGTTTATGGCAAATAGAAAAATGTGAAGGCTGTGTAAGTATTCTATTGTATGCTACATATGTCTTCATTATTTCGGTGTTTCATACAAACTATCAAAATACTGAGCACCATTTTTTACATTTGTCATTTGTCAACATACCTACAAATTTTCAGTGGGCCTATCACATATGTTTTGAATATATAAAAGGAAATCTAACCTGGCAAAAATAACTTCATTAATTTGCCTATCTTTATATGATTCTCTTTAAAGGTTAGGAATGAAAATATTTACTACTTTATAGATAGTAAAGGAATTACTAAATGGCTGACAAACATCACTCTACAGTTGGTGACATTATTCTTAAATATGTAAACAATATGAACACTACTGTTTTAACAGTTTTGGGAAATCTGGAGTTTGAATTAAATCTATTCTAGAGACTACTGATGCTCATTCTGAAGGTCTTTTTTTTTTTTTAAGGATAATTTCTTTTTTTAAAATACATTTTTATTGATTTCAGAGATGAAGGGATGAGGGGGAGAGAGAGAGAAACATCATGATGAGAGAGAATCGTTGATTGCTGCATACCCCCTACTGGAGATCGAGCCCACAACCCAGGCATGTGCCCTGACCAGGAATTAAATAAACTGTGACCTCCTGGTTCATAAATCAATGCTCAACCATTGAGCCACCCTGGCCGGGGAAAGATCATTACTATGTAATTACTATTTTCAAGGTTTGGAGAAAGAAGACCTAATATAACTTAACCAAATTCAAATTGCCTTTTGTTTTCTAATATTCTTTCCCTTTATGTCCTTTGATTATCAATAATAATGTTTCTATCTATCTTGGGTAGAATAATTGATATGTAAAAATATATGAAATATGTATTTTTCTTTAAAAAGAAATAATGAGGTTGGAAGTCAGAAATCCATAAATTACAAATAGAATATTATAACCCATAACATTTTGAATTGCATTTTAGATGATAGCTTTTTCCTGGGACATATAACCAAATATGCAACAATTCAGTTGTGCAGGTGATATAGTGAAAAAGAATAGTTTAGCCGAAACCGGTTTGGCTCAGTGGATAGAGCGTCAGCCTGTGGACTGAGAGATCCTAGGTTCGATTCCGGTCAAGGGCATGTGCCTGGGTTGCGGGCACATCCCCAGTAGGAGATGTGCAGGAGGCGGCTGATCGATGTTTCTCTCTCATCGATGTTTCTAACTCTATCTCTCTCCCTTCCTCTCTGTAAAAAATCAATAAAAAATATAGTAACAAAAAAAAAAAAAGAATAGTTTATATTTTCAGCCTTTTTTCTTCTGCTTATTTACTTAGACTATAATCACTTTTGTTCCTGCTAAGGATCTACATTAATTTGTGTGGATTTATCAATTGTTAATAATTCTTTAGTTCTGTATATTTTATGCTTTCTCTTCTCTAGAATGTAGAGTCCATTAATTACTAAAACAGTATAAAATGTTGGAAGACACTTTTGAATATTTTCATGAAATAACATTGAAATAGTAGAACTTGATTCTTTCATTTATAAATCAGTCTATTCATATATGAAGCCAGGAGGTGAACTCTTTATTTCTACTACATAAAATTTTCTTCAGCTTAATTTCCTAATTTTATTTTCTAAAGATGTTTTTGTTTCTGGTTTATTGAAAATATGCCCCTCCCCCCTTTTTGTACTTTTCCTAAAACAAGAGGAATAAATTGCTTGTTTCTTTGTTTTTCTAGGAGCGCTATAGTTATGTCTGCCCAGATTTAGTAAAAGAATTTAACAAGTATGACACAGATGGATCGAAGTGGATTAAACAGTATACTGGAATCAATGCTATCTCAAAGAAAGAATTTTCCATTGATGTTGGTTATGAGAGATTCTTGGGACCTGAAATCTTCTTTCATCCAGAGGTAATTTTTTTAGATGGAATTTTTTTATAATACTCAGCAAAAAATATCAATGAACTATAAGATTACTCAAGAGAGTTAATCTCAAGAACTTTTTTTTTTATACTAAAATGCTATAGTTATATATATATATATATGTATATATATATATATATATATTTAAAAGGCCTTTGTCAGAACAGGCTAAATAATTACTATTTTCATATATTTAGAAGAATGAAATCTTTAATATGTGTGGCTTATGTGGGGTCATAGAAAGAGGGGAGTCCTTAAACTTTTTGATCATTTAAATAAAATATGTAAAATCACCATTATAAAAAAAACAAGTAACTACACAAAATATTTAATTATTAGAAAAATAGTCTCTGTCTCTGAAATGTTAATGACATACAGGCTATATTAAATTAATGAAAAATACATGCTTTTAATAATGAAAGGTTCTTAAAACTTATAAGAAACAACTTTATTAATAGAATTACTAAAGTTAAATGCCTACTCTTGCTTATTCTAGCAAATAATAAGTGGATATAATTGTCATGCTCTCAGTTGAAGCATTAAATATTCAAAAATTAATTTGTCTTGCTCTTACTGAGCTTGAAGAATAAGAGAGATGAATACCTAAATAGGTATAGTTGCTTTAATGGATGCATGCATCAGGTGAGGAAATGGAAGCAAAGAGCATCTAAGTTTGGTTGGGAGAACCAGAGAAACTTTTTAGAGGAGATAACTGTTGAACTAAGACTGAAAGGATGAGTGGATGTTTGTTAGGCAGGTATGCTAGGGGAATATATTTCTGGCAGAGGAAATAAGCTGGGTAGAGGTCCTGAGATATAAGAGAGCTAGATAACAAAAGTATAAAGGATGGGAGTAGTAGGAGATAGATCCAGATTGGTGTTCATGAGGGACTAATAAGCTATGTAAAGGAGTTACTGGATTCTGTAGTCATGCAGAAAATTTCAGCATGGAAATGACACAGATTTATGTGTAGTATTAAAAATGTCACTCTGGTTGTACTGGGGTGGATAGATTGGAATAGAGGTGTGAATTGTGTTGGAAGCAGGCGAGTTTATTGCCGTTTTTCAGATGAAAGTTAAATGTCAGTAGGTCAATGAGAATGAGAAAGAAGGTGAGAGAGAACGAATAGAAGGTGAGTAAGCAACGTGACTTACTGATGCTTAGATGTGAGAGGAGTAAGAATATGAAGAATCTGTGATGATTCCCAGGTTTGTATCGTACTTAGATATTGTGCCATCCACTCAAATTAGGAACAGTGAAAGTGAAAGGGAAGAATAGGTGAGGTGGAAACATGACATGACTTTATTATGCGTCTTTAAAGGATTCCAAAATGAACACTTGGGTTCTAAGGATTTTGAACTGTAGTGTTTTTCAAGTGAGGATAAATGTGAAGTTATCAACACACACGGAACAAGGAAGAGAATGGTCAGGGAGAGGATGTGGAGTGGGAATAAGGGGAAGAGTGGGCCCCTAGTCAACACCAGCACTTTATAGACAGGCAGAGTAAGGAGCCTGCAAAGAATACTGAAGAATGCTGAAATGGAGTAGCTGAGCCAAAGGATTGTGGTGTTAACATTAAAAGAAGTGAGAATTTGAAGAAGTGAGGTTAAATAGTAGTGCCCATTGATACAGTATAGTAATAGAGGAAACTTGAGAAGCACTCATGGGTTTTTGCATCCAGATTATTGGTGTTCTGGGGAAACAATTTTAGGGGAATGGTGTGATAGAGGCAGCTTGTTGCCTTGGTGACAGGTGAAAGTTGGGAATTCACAGTGTGGACCTCCTGGGATTATGCCTTTTAAAAAGTTATCTTTAGTGGTGCTATTAATAGAACAATATTAGATACTAGAGGCCCAGCGCACGAAGTTGTGCACCAGTGGGGTCCCTGGGCCTGTGGGATTGGGCTGAAACCAGCTCTTTGACATCCCCCGAGGCGTCCGGATTGTGAGGAGGCACAGGCCAGGCCGAGGGGCCCCACTGGTGAACAATCAGGGTCTGGGGAGGGACATGGAAAGTTGGCCGGCCAGGGAGGGGCCGTGGGAGGGCTCCAGGGCGTGTCTGGTCAGTCTCGCTCAGTCCCGATCTGCCAGACCCCAGCAGCAAACTAATCTACCAGTCGGAGCCTCTGCCCCCTGGTGGTTAGTGCACATCACAGGGACTGATAGGCCGGTCGACTATCTTCCCCCTGGTGGTCACTGCACATCATAGCAAGCAGTTGAGCAGCCTTAGCATATCATTAGCATACTAGAGGCCCGATGCATGAAAATTTATGCAAGAGTTGGCCTTCCTTCCCCTGGCTGCTGGCACCGGCTTCCCTCTGGCACCCAGGACCCAGACTTCCCTCCTTGGGCTGCTGGCAGGCACCCAGGACCCGGGCTGCTTCCCTCCTCCAGTTCCCCGCAGGGATCAGGGACCCAGTCTGTTTCTCTTGGGCCGCCCTCAGGCACCTGGGACCCAGGCTGGCTTCCCTCTGGCCTGGGCTTCGTCAGGAAGGACGTCCGGCCTAATTAGCATATTACCCTTTTATTATTATAGATTATGCTTTGATTGGTTGAATGGACAACTGGACACTTAGCATATTAGGGTTTTATTATATAGGATAGGATGTGTGTTCACTGTTTTTTTTTTTGAGAATAGACCTGTTTTATGTATATTAACTGGGTCACTTCCCAAGTGAATTTTAAGATTCTTCTGTAGTTTTAGATATTTCTGTCATAGTTCCTCTGTCATTTGAAGGATTCGCTCTGTTTTTTTGTTTTGATTAGATGAAGGGATGGGCATCTGAACTTGAACAATTGAAGATAAAATGTCCGAAAGAGTAAGGATATTTATTTTTGAACTGTTAAATTCATCACAAATACAAGAACTATTTTTAGGAGGAATGGGTTTAGTACTTTGCTTTTTTTCTTTTTAAGGAAATTATAAATTTTTGACAAAACTATTTGGATTGTTGTGTTTCATTGGGTGTATTCTCTATAAATTTTTCAGAGGAGAGGAAAAATATTCCTCCTCTGATAGCCACTTGAGGTAATAAGAAGACCTTATCAGGGAGCATTTGGAAGCAAGATATCCTTTTGCTGAAAGTGAAAGAAAAGGCCTAAAAATATTCTTAATAGGGACCCTAGGTTGAGCCTTCTAGTATTAAAGCATTGAATAACCTTCAACAATTTTGTTAATTTGTTTACTGTGAATTATTTTTTCCTTCATTTATTTACTAAATATTCATTGCTTGCTGCTTTACTTCATATTCTACTTGTCACCTGGGGTTCTACAGCACTAAAGTCCCTGAGCTTTTTCAAAAGATATATTCAAATCAGACTTAATTTCTTTCTAAATCAGATTTTTTTTGTGTGTGGATCCAGATTATGGGAAGATTTAAATGTTCTGTAAATTTTTCATTTCTGTATATTCTTGATTAAAAACTGTGAGAAGGGCACAGAGATATAGCTATAAGGTGGCTCAGGAAGCGGCGTAGGAAACAAAGAGAGTTGAGTCAGTAAGGAGGAAAAGGGTTTAATCTGCGTCCCAGGGCGACCCACGAACCCCAAAGGCAGGGCCAGTGGATTTGTGTCAACAGGGAAAGGGGGGTTTCTTTTTATACAGGTGTTTAATGAGGGGCGGGGGCATGAGCTGAGGAAGTTCCCGCCGCAGGGGGCGGCGGGGGGGGGGGGGCGGGCTGCAAGGTATTGAGGAAAGAGTCAGTATCTGTATGGGGGTCGTTGTGGATTCCAGGGAGGAGCTGGTATCTGTGTGGCCATCTGTTTTGGCATGCTGACCTGTTAGGAATTCCAGGGAGGGTCCATTATCTCGTCACACATCTGCATGCATCTGATCCTGGGGGCTCCCTCCGACCTAACAGTAGCACAGGAATGAATGACCCTATTCCTGCATTTTACTTGCTCATGGTATAGCAGATAAACTATCTTAAAGGCAGGGAAAGTATTATCTCATATGTGTGCGTATTATTGTTTTAGTTAAATACTGAAGAGTATGGTTAACAAAGATCAGTATAGAGAATTTGCAAGTTCTGTATTAACAAATTGGTAACATTTTTTAAAATGAATATAATAGCACATATTTTCTGTCATATTGTTAATATTTTCTGTCCGGGTTTTGAGAATTAAATATCTTAAGCTGTTGACAGGTTCTCAGGTTGTAGAGGTTATTTGGGGTAGTAGGTACATTTGTATTATAACTTTTCAGATTGTTTTTTTAAAACAGACTGGTTAGGAAGGTAGAGTTGAGATGGAAAGGCATTTGATAGTTTAAATCATTGTGGTTAAAAATAATAACATTTTTAAAACTTCATTTTTAATTGTGACATTTAAGTCAGTAGTGATTTAATCTCTATTATATATCCAACTTTACTTACTTTTCAGTTTGCTAATCCAGACTTTACTCAACCTATCTCAGAAGTTGTAGATGAAGTAATTCAGAATTGTCCTATTGATGTTAGACGTCCTCTCTACAAGGTCAGTATTTACAGCTAAATTGTTATTCAAGGTCATACTTTTAAAAGCTTCTTTATTTTCTTTCCATTGTTGAATATTACATTTAAAACACCTCTCTTCAAAGGATATAATTGGATTTTATTACCATTTTTTTATATCTTTAGTTTTTTTTATTCTTTTAAAATAAAGGTCATGCTTGCTTACTTATTTATTTTTCTCCACTGATATAGAATATTGTCCTCTCTGGAGGGTCAACCATGTTCAGGGACTTCGGACGTCGCTTGCAAAGAGATTTGAAAAGAACTGTGGATGCCAGGCTGAAATTAAGTGAGGAATTGAGTGGCGGTAGATTGAAGGTTGGTTTTTTTCTATAATTGGGGAGGTTGAGGGTGCCTTGATTATTATAATGGGGATGGGAAATGTCTGCCAACTTTTGCTTTTATTTAGAAAAATAAGAGGAACTGTTGGATATTCTAATGGAGAATGGTTAATATTAAACATTCATATCTATATTCTTGATCATTTGATTCCTCTAGGATATTGTCTACGTTTTTGGAAAATATTCTTGTAGCTGTGAAAGAGATTTATGTTTCATCCTCGTTAAATGTAGAACATTGACACAAAACATAACAGAGAGGATATGTTGCTAAATAAAACACATGTTATTCAACTGGAAAATTACCAAGAGTGAGGGATACTACAATCAGTCAAAATTACTTACAGTAAAATACAGCACTGTAGAGTTTGCTGCCTTTTGAGAAATTACATGACAGCTGACTGTTTTCAGCCCCTAAAGTTTGATTATTTTAAACCTACCCCCTTGAAGTTCCGTTAAAAAGTATGTTTAAGAGTTCAATGATTTTCAACCTTTTTCATTTCATGGCACACATAAACTAATTACTATAATTTTGCGGCCCCCCCAAAAAAAATATTTTTTGCTGATCTGACCAAAAAATTGATATTGATACAGTTTTGATTCATTCATACCTGATGGCTGTTGTGTTGATTGTTGTCATTTTTTTATTTGACAATCTAAGGGAAAAGAGATCAGTGGATTCATTATAGCTACCTGAAGTGAGAAAATAAATGCTGTTTTTCAGTATTTCAATAAAGTAAAATTGTTTAACATATTTCTAAGTTTCTGGTACATTTCTAATTAGAAAGGAGGGATCTTCCCCGTCCACCCCAACCCCTCCGGGTTTTGCTGATCAGTGCTGTACTGACATCTAGTGATACTGGAAAAACTTGATAGAGGATTCTCCCTCTTTCCCCTTTATTTTGTCAATAGTCATTTTATAGGTCTTCATAAATCTTTATATATCTGTATCTAAACCTGGCATTATTTCTTTTTAATCTGTAATTTTTAATGGCAATCAAATAGCTTTTTTAGACCAAAAAAAGAAAAATAATAATAAGCCGCATCTTTTTATGACTTGTAAGTTTGAAAACATTTTTTTTGAAATAATTTCATATTTCATATTTACCAGAAACGTTGCAAAACCTAGTAGGAATTCCTATATATTGTTCACCTACATTCCCCAAATATTAGTATTTTATATTTTCTTTATGTATACATACACACACACACACACACAAATATATACATATTCCTATACATACAAAAATCATTTTTTTCTGAATTGTTTTGGAATGAGTTGCATATATGGTGGCCTATTACTTCTAATAGTTTAAAGTGTGTTTCCCCAAAACAGGATATCACAATTTTAAAATCAGGAAATTCATCTTGAATACAGTGTTATCTAGTTATAGATCTGATTCAAATTTCATCAGTTCTATTATTATTGTTCTTTTTATAGCAAAAGGAAAAAAATGCATATTTTTTCTGGTCTAGGATACAGTCCAGGATTACATGTTTGAATTAGTTACCATGTCACTTCAATCTAGAATAATTACTTAGTCTTTTTTAACCATTAATGTTTTTAAAGAGTAGAGGTCATTTGTTTTGCAGTGGTTCTTATTTTGGGGTTGTCAGATGTTTCTTCGTGATTAGGTTCAGATTATGCACAGAAGTGATGTTGTGTCCTTGCAGTGCATTTATCTCTGGACAGATGATATGATTTGTCCCGTATGTTAATTTAGATAATTTGGTTAAAGGTGTGTCTTTCAGGTTTTTCTACTATAAGGTGATTATTATTATTATTTTTTACATGTAATGCGAATCATATGGGAAGATACTTTCAGACTCTGTAACTATCCTGATACTCATCAAACTTTTAACCACTAGTATTAACACCCTTATTTCTTTCCTAAGATAGTTATTACTGTGGTAATTGCCAAGTGGTATTTTGCAAATTCCATCATTCCTTTTATGTTTTTTAGTCTCATTTTACTTATGGAAGAGTTTTTCATTCATTCATTCATTCATTCATTCATTCATTCATATCTATAGAAACTGATTTCTCATGTTATTCCATAGCTATATCATTAATATAATTGTGATTTAATATCGACATTAATATTATTAATGTCATTACTTTTGATGTTCAGATTTTCTCAGATTTGCCATTGGGAGCCATTCGAAGTAGCTTTTCTGATATGGTCCCAGTATTTTTCAAGCACTTTCTTACTTTTCTTGCACAGCAAGATATTCCAGGCTCATCCTTTATATTTTCTTCTCCAATCCAGGAATCAGCCCTTTTCTCCCCAAGTCACCCTTGTTCATTTTAGTGGAAAATGCTATTAGGAATTCAAGTTTTGGACATTAAGTATATTCATTGCTACTGGGTGTCACTGTTTCTAAGCCTTCTTGGCAGTTGGAGCTAGTGTGTGTGTGTGTATGTGTGTGTGTGTGAACATCTATATCTAGTACTCTATGTAAATTAAAAGCTGAATTCATGCTGATACTGCCAGTTCCAGAATACCAGAGGTTCACTCTAGCCTTTTACCTTTCCATATTTTTAATGCCCTCTCGGACAGAGAGAAAACTGGCTTCTGTTATCTATAATATATTTATGTTTTTGCTCTATCCAGGCTATGTTTTATAGGAGCTTCAGAATTGTTGGTTCATATCACTGTGAGAAGTAGGCCTGCTAACTAGAGTTCAATGTTTGTGTAGTTTTATCTTCAGCCTGAGGGCATAGTCATAATCCTGTTCACAGGGTACTTGGAGTAGTTCTGTCCACAACTTCAGTGTGGTTATGCTTTTAAAAAAATGAGCTTAATATTTTTCTACTCTGTTGTTCTGCCCAGTGTGCCTCGCACATCTTTTATAGTTTTATTTATTTTCAAGTATGTGAAACATTATAGTTGATTGTGTACATTTATATTTAAGGCAAATGATCCAAAGAAACTGTTATTTTAATATACTATTGAATCGATCTAATTTTTTTTTTTTTTTCTTAGCCAAAACCAATTGATGTGCAAGTCATTACACACCACATGCAGCGATATGCCGTTTGGTTTGGAGGATCGATGCTGGCTTCCACGGTAAATGAGAAGAAGCTTACTTTTATAATTTTATTTTATTTCATTTTTTAGATAGAAGAATCCTTGAATACCTAAAAATTTTAGAAAAATGAGAAATTAAAAAATGTTTTAAAGTTTTAAAATTGGATATGTATGCACATAGTATTTTTAAAAAGTGCAAGTCATTTGAATTTAATGTCCATATTTTTCTTTGCTTGCTGGACATTTTTTTAGAGCGAGCCTTTAGAATTTTTAAATGTATCTGTAGGGAAAATTATTTGAACCCTGTGGTAATGCAGATATGAGAAGGTCATTGTTTTTTCTGTGCAAATATTTAAAAATATTGAGTTAAGAGTAATGTTTTACTGGATAGGATGTACCCGGGTCTAAATTAAGTAAAGGGAATTCTGAGAGTCCTCTTCCCAAACCAAAACATCTTAAAGCCTCTTAAAAAGGTATTTTAACATCTTTAGCCTATAAAATATTGGTATTTTATCTCATAGTGCACAGAGTATTAAATAAAATTAAGGTGCTTTTATCTGAATTATTGAAAACTATACAACCTTGAATTTAAAACCATTTAAAAATAAGAGATAAAAGTATTTTCTTTCTTAATTTTAGTTGTCTTCACTTGTGCCATATAGCTAGTTGAGTTTGTAGCTTTGCCCTTTGAGAAACTAGATAACTGAGAGTATTGAATAGTCTGTCTATACCAGACCTTGAGTGAGGAAAGAGATTGAGTACAAGTTTTGTAGCATCACTGAGAGTGATTTGTCGGTACTTCAGATTAATGCTGCTTCTGTAGATTATTGATTCAATATATAGTTTAGGAAAGTCTCAGTAGAGTAGTCTTGGCATTTGAGAATCAGTTTTCCATTCCTCAAAATTTCAAAATCTAAGACAAATAGGTGTTGAGGAGGAGGTTGATGGACATAAGTTAAATGCTCCTTTTTAATTCTGAGTTAGACGTATAGGTGATTTTAAGTCATGGTTAAATTAAAGCTGGAATTTCTAAGCTTTGTTCAAGTACTGTGGATGGACTACTAATAAACATTTTAGACTTAACAAATCTATTTTAAAGCATATTAAAAATTGGATAGAATTTTGATCTTTATGAAAATTCTTGTTTTTATTTTCAGCCTGAGTTCTACCAAGTATGCCACACCAAAAAGGATTATGAAGAAATTGGACCTAGCATTTGTCGCCACAATCCAGTGTTTGGAGTCATGTCGTAAAATTGGCTTCATAGTTATTGGGGTTAGGGAGGTGGGAAAGAAATAATCTTTCTGATTACTTGTTTTGTCTGGATGGCTGGTTTTGAAGTTTTAAACCTGACTTGAAATAATAAGACCAAACATAATTATACAGGAATATTTTAATAAATATATCAACATGCGAATATAGAGGAGCGCCAAAATGATTGTTTTTCTTTAGGTTGAATATTTGAATCTTATGTGTAACAAAAAGAAGTGGGTTTTAGTTCTTTCTGTGTCCTGATATTTTGTATATTATTGAATTATCCAAGATTTGATGGGATTTATCAGTATGTAGATAGCTCTATAATGCTTGAATTGTGCACTTCTAAGTGTGCAATGCAAGAGCTTGTTTATATTTCATACTTTTTATACTTTGAGGAAAAAGTCAAAGAAAAACTAGTATTTGAGTACAAAAAAGTGACCAAGTAAAGGATAAATTCAAAAAATAGCCTCATGAGACTTGATGTACACACATGCTCGTGGGATTCCAGTTATGAATTGCTGCCATCCCCCTGTGCTGCCCCAGTGGTTTTCTTTGCAAGTGCTTTTGGAACTAAGAAGCTAGTATCTTGGATTAACTGATGCCTGCTAGTGCTTTCTGATTATTCGCATTCTGTTTGTCGCTTCAAAGGAAAAGTAAAGACAAGACTGTTGGACCAGTATTGCAGTTCTGTAGTGTCATTTCTTATAAAAAATGAATTACCAAAATTCATATATTTAAAGCCTAACACCATTCTAATAAAGGCACAGATTTCTTTTTAATACTTGTTTCAAGCTCTTTAATCTTTGTGTTAACTAATCTATTTTCTTCAAATCTCTGCAATAGTTCTTTAAAATCAAACAGTTGGTTAGCAAGCTGACTTTTTTATGTGCTCTAAACAAATAATTGTGAACTTTTAATATGTTGAGTGCTTTCATTTTGATAACTGGATCTCCATTTGATATTTCATTTGTATAACTCATTTGCAGTCTGAAAATTTTTTTAGTGCCAGTCCCTGACATATCATGAAAAGTTAATTTTCTTTGCATTTAAAAATCTCTGGATCATGAAGAAAACGTGATGAAAATAAATTAAACTGAATTACCTTTTCTAATGTTTTTTTTTTTAGAAGCATTGTCATTCTACTTTGTGCTTATGTATTTTATGTTATATCTGTTTGTTAGAATAGTGGGATTCATTGAAATCTCTATAATGTATATGATAGAAAATTTCTTGTGAGCTTCAAATTTTATCCGGTTATTTATAGAAGACAAAGATGAGAGATTTAAGCAGTAATACCAGTGAACACTTGAAGTTCATTACCCATGAAAATAACACATATGATTAGTATAGCTCTACCCAAAAGTTAAAGAACAAAGTGTTTTTGTTGTTTATTTTTAATATAAAGATAGAATCGGGGAGTAAACTTTATTTTTTATTTAGAATGAATCTGGATATTTAAAATTATATTATTTATATGAATCTTAATTCTTTGAGTACGGTATAAAGAACAAACTATATGTCCTATAGTAGTAGTAGTGTCAGTATCAAATATCTTTTTTTACTTGAAAAATATTTCATAAGCATTATTAAAAAAACTAAATAGTGAAAGTAGATTGCTTTCCCATCCTAGTCTGTGTCATTTCTTTTTATTTATTAAAAAATTGTTAATGTTGACATTATTGCAGGTGTCCTCCCCTTTACCTCTCCCTCCCCCCTTTGCCTATCTCCATCCACCTCCACGTCCCCATCCCTTGGCCTTCACCAAACTGTTCTGTCTCATTTTCTCATCATTACATTGTTAGAAATGTCGGTGTGTCCTTGTCACTTTCTGTGCATATTGAAATGAATATAGCCTCCCTTATTTTACACAAATAGGAGCTTACTATATATACTGTTGCAAATACCTTTTGATACAGACCTAAGTTGATAAACATTACAGATTTCATGCTCCTGGCTCAATAAAGTGTCATTAGCATTGTCATAAATGTCATTTGCACCTGAGATGGTTGAATAATAAATGAATAAGCTCAGAAGACACATTTACAAAGCTGCAGATTGCAATCTCATAAATACTGAAATATGTTCTTAACTGATATGAATGTGAAGGTCAAATGTTTTCTCTTAAGTTCATGCTTATTTGGGAAAACAAGAGGACTCTAATATGCCTTTTGCCCTGCAAGTGCTTATAGGAGTGAGCTATCAATGTGGTAGAAACAGTGCTCTTATTTCTCTCCTGTCATCATGTGTCATTTTTCCAATTTATAGCACCTTTGGTAATATACGTGTAGAGGTTGGCCAAGGTGAATTCAGGTCTGTCACACTAATTTGATGTCAGGCTGCATGAGCATGGTAAAGGGTGTCCCAAAATTCACGCAAGAAGTAATTTTGATAGAAAACACAGGTTTATAATTAAAAATTGTAAATTTTTTATTGATTCATAAAGTATAGAGTATAGGGTTATGTATAGAATAGCATATCGGGTAAATGGCCTCCACGGCTTTGCTAGCCAGCAAATACACACACTTTTGTTATTGCCTGAGCAGCCGCATTTTTGAAGAAGAATGGTCCGATGATGCCTCCAGCCCAAAATCCACACCAAACAGTGACATGTTGTGGATGCATTTGTTTCTCAAAAATCACTCGTGGATTTTGTGAACCCCAAATGCGACAATTTTGTCGATTAACCAAGCCATCAAGATGAAAATGAGCCTCATCGAAATTCAGCCACAGTTATGCAAAACGGTCATGGAAAATTTCAACAAAAGAGTGCGTATGTGCCAGCAAAGCTGTGGAGGCCATTTACCCGATACACTATTCCATACATAACCCTATACTCTATACTGTATGAATCAAAAAATTTACAATTTTCAATTATAAACCTGTTTTTTCTATCAAAATTACTTGCATGAATTTTGGGACACCCTTTACATTGGAATTTTATTCTGAATCTACAAGTTGGGATACAACTCCTTCAAGTTTTTTTTGTTTTGTTTTTTTTTAAGCACAAGAAACATTTATATAATTTGGATAACTTTCTGGACCTTAATTTAATTTATATATTAGGTATTGGTGATATCTATATTAACAATGCAACTTTTGTGATTTCTGAAAATAATAACCTGGCTGTTTTATTTTTAATAGGGCTTTGATCAATGGGAAATATTGGACAGAAATAAAATAGATGACAGTTATCTAACTTGATGCCTACTCTTTAGTAACCAAGTTTTCACAACTTATTTCTTAAACATTGGTAAATAGCACATACTGCAAGTAATCACCCACTTCTGACCTATCTTCCTTTCTCATGAGGTAATGCAGCTCTCTATTCAGGTCTCCCATACAATTTTTTGGTTTGTTTTCCAGGCTACCTTAACAGATTGAAATAACTGTTCTTGCAGTTATTTCTAGAAATATTTTATAAGTAATAATATGAATTATAAGGATAATAGGCTGTTATGTTCTTTATTCTTTCCTTAGTCTCTATAGCGAAGTCCTAGAAAATATCCTATATAATAAAAGCCTAATATGCTAATTGACTGGTCGGCCATTCAACCAATCAAAGTGTAATACACTAATGATATGCTAAGGCCACTCAACTGCTCGTTATGACATGCACTGACCACCAGGGGGCAGACAGTCAAGCAGTTGACCAGTCATTATGATTTGCACTGACCACCAGGGGGCAGACAGTTGACCTGTTGACCAGTCACTATGATGTGCACTGACCACCATCGGGCAGATGCTCCAACCAGTAGGTTAGCTTGCTGCTGGGATCTGGCCGATCGGGACTGAGTGAGATGGGCTGGACATGCCCTGGAGCCCTCCTGTGGTCCCTCCCCAGCTGACCAACCTCCCGCACCCCTCCCCGGCCCCGATTGTGCACTGGTGGGGCCCCTCGGCTTGGCCTGCGCTCTCTTGCAATCCGGGCTGAGGGACCCTCCCGCCCCCGAGTGCATGTATTTTGTGCACCAGGCATGTAGTCTATATATATAAAAGGCTAATATGCTAAGTGTCCCTCCCTTCATCTGACCAGTCGCTATGACGTGCACTGACCACCAGCGGGCAGATGCTCAATGCAGGAGCTGCCAAGCTGCAGTGACTTGGCAGCGGAGGTTCTTGGGTGATACACCCTGAAACCAGAGAGGAGGGTTCCTTGCAGGGCCATGCGATTCCACTTTCAGCCATGATTAGTTGTTGCTGGGGCACTGTCGGCCCCAAATCTGGTTTACTGCACACTTGCATTTTGTGTTCCATACCCTATATGTACGACAGCAACTTTGCAGAGTGCCCTCTCGCACTCTGGGACCCCTCGGGGGATGTTGGAGAGCCTGTTTTGTCCTGATCCCTGCAGGCCAGGCCAAGGGACCCCACCTGCTGAAGGGACCCCGCTCATTCCACAAACTTCAGGGAGGGACTGCAGGAGGTTGGCTCCAGGGCCTCTCCGGCCCTTCTTGCCCAGTCCTGCCCCACTGGCCACCTTCTAATTAATTTCCTTTTAATGTGCATGAATCTGTGCACCTGGTCACTAGTATCTATATAAATAGAAACTTTCAGGTAACCCTAAAGATGATACCGGAATATTTGTAACATTGAAGAAATAAAGTGTAAAAACCTACTTGTACCATTGTAAGAGAGTTGTCATTCTTCATACTGGACTGTTGTGTCAGTAATAAAGTCTGGTGTATTCTCCCTTTGTTAACAGCCCATCTTTGACTCCCATGACCCCCTGCTCCCTGATCTGTTATGGTTCATAACCGGGCATGAGTACCTTAGCCCTCTGCAGTCTTCAACTGTTAGCACCTGATTCCAACTTAGTTAATGGGCACTGTATACTACATATGTTGGCTAAAGTACAATCCAAAATGCGTGCAGTCTCCGGGATTGAAACATTCTCACACTCATTGGAACCCTGTGCTAGAACATATTTCAGTGTAATAGCACTTAGTCTATATAGTTGGCTAGGGACAGACTTGTTATCAAGAAGTTACAGGGGCCGAGACCGGTTTGGCTCAGTGGATAGAGCGTCGGCCTGCGGACTGAAGGGTCCCAGGTTCGATTCCGGTCAAGGGCATGTACCTGGGTTGCGGGCATATCCCCAGTAGGAGATGTGCAGGAGGCAGCTGATTGATGTTTCTCTCTCATCGATGTTTCTGGCTCTCTATCTCTCTACCTTCCTCTCTGTAAAAAATCAATAAAATATATTTAAAAAAAAAAAAGAAAGAAGTTACAGGGAACTTTAACAGCAAATCCTAAAAGTAAGTACTTGTGTTTGTTGTTGTTGTTAGTTTGTTTTTAGAGAAAGGAGAGTGGGAAGAGAGAGGAAAACATCAATTGGTTGCCTTAATGTGCCCCCACCACCAGGGATTGAACCCTGCAACTTAGATATGTGCCTTGACTGGGAATTGAACCCACAACCTTTGGTGTATGGAACCGGATGATGCTCCAACTGACTGAGCCACTGGGCCAGGGCAGTACTAATTAATGACATAACTACATCTAAGTTGACCTTAAGCGAGAATGTTTAGATCTGGAGGGTCTGGGAAATTTTTAGATCTCTGAAAAAGGATTTCTGCTACTCGTTGATAACTCAGCACTATGTAAATGTTCATCCCTCTTGTTTAATTTGTTTTTCAGTATACCAGATCTTTTGTTATAACCTGCTTGGTCTTGATAGAATCTTAACAACAAAAAATTAAAGTCTGGGGTTGTCTTTGGTAATCTCCATGCCATAACCCAGTTTAACACATGCATTTGGAACTCAGCTGAAATTAAATAACACCTATCTGAATTTAGAATTGCATTAACATTGTTCCAGTGATCACAGGAGCAGGAAAAAGGGGGACCAAAAATAGATATGAATGATTTAGAAAAAATGACAACTGAAAAAATAGAAGAAAAGTACTGTTGTTATTTTGATTTAGCAAATGATTATTTACTGTTTTCCAGTGTTCCAACCCTTGTGGTCACTTTTATACATTTCATTGGAACTCAGATATTGAGCCAAAATAGTTTTACACTACAATCATGTACAGCAGGGGTCCTCAAACTTATTAAACGGGGCCAGTTCACTGTCCCTCAGACCGTTGGAGGGCCGGACTATAGTTTT